GTGGAAAGTTTTTTAGTATTTTCCAACATAAGTGTCCTGCTGGGGCACTGGTGCGTAAACACTGGAAAACTATCACAGAAAGCGAAAAAAAATCAGGAGACGTTTTTAAACACTGAAGATGCCTGATATACGCAGCGTAGTTAGGAGACATAACGGCATCTGTATCTTCCTCTTCTAGTGGATGAGTCATATAAATTTACTTCCTACCAAAAAAAAAGGTAAAAAAGTTTGTCATTTGGAAAAACAAACTTTTTCGAACTGCTGTGCACCGTAGTTTCAGTCGAAGATACCGAATGTTTATATAGCTACATCAGTAAGGAAGTGAAAAATAAAAACTACGCTTAGTAAGAAGAGGAAATCAATAATTCAACGACCCATGGAACTATACGATCCACTCGGATCTCCTAGATGGAATTACGTGGATGAGGGAAGCCCAAATTAGGAAAAAATGGAGAAGTTGCCAGCTGCACCAACGGCGAGAACGACTCTCGGCAGTCACCGTTAAAGAATTAAGCGCCGAGACTTATCTAATTTACCCGCTCAGCTGTATGCTTAAATTCATAAACGGTCACTAACTGTGAACTAAGCACATGAAGCTTAGAGCTTAGGAGAACGAAGTACAGAACATCCCTGCCTGAAAATGTATCCTTGAAAAGCCAGCTTCAGTGAGAATATTAAGAAATTCGACTTATGCTACAGCTCCACCTTGTTAAATCTGGCTGAGACTACTCTGAGTCTGCTAGCTAAATCCGTACAGTTCCACCTTGTTAAGTCTGTATAGTCCGACTTAGCTAAGTGTGCGTGAAAATCCTGTATTTATGGAAAATCCAATACTATTTATCTTGTCGATATACCGAATTTTGTAGAGGGACAAAAATCCCTGGCTTGTAAAACGTAACTACTTTAGATGTTACTTGGGAACTGTGCAAAGCCGAAAGCATTTCAAGGAACCTACTCTACTTTCAGTTCACTTGGGAGAGTACTAAAATGGGTTACTAACAGAAATTATATAAAAACTTTTGATTTTTGAGAAAAACAAATCAGCGAATCATGAGAGAAAGTTTCAAAATGATACGATGAAGAAGAGAAAATGATCGTTCCGGAAGTTTCACTGCCCGCAGTTATAACTCCGTTTTCTCTTTTCTGCAGTACAATTCTTTCAGCGTTTTGAGTTCTTCGATCAGCGCTTTATTTTGATTTTCCAAAACGGCTACACGATTTTCCAGGCATTTCACATATTCTTTCTTTTTCCGCCTACATTCTTTTGCCGCTTCTCTGTAACAAATGATTTTTTTTTTTGACGAGATTTAATTACTTTTTCGAGGTGCAGAAAAAAATGTTAAATTTTTTCAATTTCTAAACTTCCAAAAGTTCAAATCAAATAGTGCAGTGCACCTGTTCTTGAGTAGCCGTACTTGCCTCTTCCTGGTACTATCATCACTTTCAGCAGCTGCTCGACTGCCTCCGGCCAAACCAATCGGTGAGGGTGATGACGTATAACCAGACATCATATTCGACTGCCAGTCTACAATTAGGAAAATCTGCTTATTACAAGTAAAAAGCACCTCAATATCCACTTTTCACTAGAGCGAAGGCATTCAGTAGTTGCGTGAATGGTGGTAACCCGGGCTAACAGCAGCCATTCTCTGGCGGAGCACTGATAAAGTGTAATTTTTAAAATAACAGTAAAATGAGAAATAATAGAGTCGAAAAATTTAGAAGGATCAATAATGACAGAAAAATACTAAATAAAAGACAAGAAATGCATAAAATCAAAAACAGAAAAATAAAAAATAACTGAAATGGAATGTTTCGATCCACTGAGTCGTGCACCACTCTCATTTTGATGACCTCTCTTCACGGGTAAGCTGATGC